AAAAGTATTAATAATTATAATTAAAAAAAAAATCCTACTGGCCTCAAACTTCTAAATGGTATGTATGCCCTTACCCCTGACAGGCCCAGCTGGATCAGATGGTGGATGAATGAAAGCTTCAGGAACCTTGTGTAATCCAACCTAACTGAATTAGATTCAGTTTGATTTCAATTCCTGTTAGCCTGGTAGAGTTCATTATGTTCTATTGTAGTTTATCGATCAGACCGCCTAGTCACATGTTTCAGCAGCTGTTTATATTGCTGTAATCACGAGGGTCATTTGATATTCCTTTAATATATCTTGGCCACTTGTTCGGTTGTTCAGCTGTTCAGTTCTTAGAGCTCAAGTGGCCAGCCTGCTAACCATTTTGGGTTGATTTACACTGCCTAACAGATGTGTGACCTATAACAACTGGGCATGGTCAATGAGATTTATGACCCTTTGCCTGACCTCATTGACTTACTTAAGAGGTCTTTGTAATGGATAACTATAAAGGATAAACCCTGAAGCGCTGCTTCTTTTCAGTGGCACAGACAGCAAAGCATTATAAGAAGTGATGTCAATGATTGTGGTTCAAGAAATTTAACGCATCAGAGGTGAAGAGAGCCTTACCTGGATTGTTAGAATGTAATGTGAATAAACAAAACATTTATTTATTTTGTCCTCTTGCTCTATTTAGCCTATTTGCTCTATTTATCTATCTCACAAACATCTATATTTACTGAACATTTCACAAAACATTTACTAGTAGACTGTGAAACTTAAATTGTTTTACAGGGGTTTCCCCCATTTTTTTAAATCTGAAAGTTTTCTTCTTTTTTTTTCAGAATCACTGGTAGCAGAGTGATTTTTTATTTTTTTTTGCATGGTTTCGAAGGCTGTTTTCCTCATTCAGGCAATTTATAACCTACCTTGAAGACACATTTCACACACCCAAGTGTCCCTCGATAAACCCAGGATTTCCCTATTAGCACTTTGTGTTGTGCACAACTTGAAGGATCAGATTTGGATTTGAGAGTGTGGATTTGAGAATTGGAGAGCAGCTAAGTAGACATGCTCGACCATGTGCCTTTTTTATGTTTTTTATATCTTACAGGACACAGGAAATCTTTTTCGCCTTGTACTGCCATCATTCTTTTATGAATTATTTTGAGATGTCCGCATGCATCAATGACCTTGCGTGGTTGGTGTGGTCTGGGTCTGTGTCAGCGCCATCGGGGGCAATGCTGTCCTCTAGAAGATTAGATACCGGTTAATCTGGTATAACGGTTTTGATTTCACATATGTATTTTTCAAATATCGCCATAACGGTGCATAGGTGAAACTATCGCTGTATTGATTAAATGGCCATAAAGAGCACTGTTTAGAGTGTATTGAGATAGGTCAACTATTAACTGCATACTCTTTTTGTACTCATGGTTATGACTTTATAACACAACAATGAATAACCAACACAACTTACTCTCTCCTTAACATGGAAATTCCACGTAGAGCCCTATGATTTCCACAATAATAATAATAATGCACCCTAAACCTATATAAAGGTTCAGTTATGAAAAGGAAAAATACAGTGACATGAAACCACCAGAATATTCAATTGCATGATACAGATTTTTGGTCAAACCACCAGCACTAATATGTTATAAAAAAAACAATGATACCCGGTGTTTCTGCAGTATTGGTAATACAAAGGGCTGTCAATGGAAAATCTTATGTAATTGTTGGTGGGACAAAAATTGGATACATGTCATAATATCAGATCTGTGTATTAGGCTTTCCAGTGTAAATGCAGAATTAATATATATATATATATATATATATACATACATACATATATATATACATATATATATACATACATACGCGTGTGTGTGTGTGTGTGTGTATATAGTTTTGAACACTTGGTGCCACTTTTGGTTTGTTTAAATATAGGAGTGGTATCAAAATTGGGAATTGAAATTTTGCTGGTATTGGCTACTGAAGTTTTGATGTCATGACAACCCCACTCTCAGCCACTCCATCAGTTCTGTGTGCTTGTCACACACTGAGCACTAAGCAGCTCTATACAAAACTTAGATTGTGTTCAGAGACCACATGCTTGGTTCTCCATTATTAGTCTGAATCCAACAACATTATTTTTTACACTGTGTCCACATTGAGAGCAAATGGCGCAGAGAGTGATGCTACAAAACTAAATCGCTCCAGTCACGCTCCACAAATCGGTGTCCACTGCAGGCATGTGACGTCACTTTTGCAATTATAATGGGAGCAGTGTAGTTTCACTGGCATCATGTCGCTTGCTCTCAGTTTAGATCGGATTTGTAAACAATTCTTAGGCTTGAAGATTCTAGCAGAGGTCAAGGTTGACTTGACTGAAGCTCATCTGTCAGGGGTATGTATAAATGTTCTCCTCATTGAAAGGATGCCGCAGTCCCTTGGGCCCAGTCTTTGAAATTACATTATGGGTATTAGAAGCAGATGATGTAGTGCTGAGCTTTATATGACTCTATCAGAGGTCAGATCTTTCTCCTGTTACTTCCTGTCCACCGCTTCTCAGAGCTGGGATTGATTAAAGCCCATGCTGGCGTGTTTACAAGCACCTGTCGTTGGCTTATCCTGTCCTGAAGAGGTGACACCTTTCTAGCATTGTCAGGACATGTTCGGCCTACTTCAAGCTAAACACACAAGCTCAACCACTCTTCAGTACTTTATTTTGCTTGAATTTTTCCATTTTCAAACCCTGAAATACTCCCTTCTATAAAGTTAAACAGAGGCCACCCACTTTTTCTGTAGCCCTGGTTACGCAAGTATTTTTCCCATAGGGATTTTTAATTACGAGTTACAAGCCATGAACCAAACCAGGCAGCTATGAGGCAGGGTCGGAAATGAATGGGGGCTTGTGGCAAAAATGGCACCAAAATGAACAAAAACCCCCCACAAATTCAAGATAAAGGGGCAAAAATTGCTCCTACACAAATTAAATCTATTACGGCTGTTGCGATTAAAATGAAATATGAAAAGTATCAGTTTGCAAAATTGCATTTAGGGCTATGCATATTGCATCAGATTGCATTTTATGCAGTGTTTTTGTGCAGCATTGAGCATTATAACCAATCATACATGTTTCTGTTGAGCTTTTGAATGCATTGGCCAATCAGAAGCATTTCGATTATCGGCGCTGAAAACACTGGAGTTTTGTGCATGCGATCATGTGCACTCATAAATTCTCTTATAAACAACGGAGTGCAGAAAAGATGTAAGTAAGGGATCCATTTTGCAGCTTAAATAATCGACAATAGTAATTTTTGTCATAATATTGCAGCCCTACCCTGTAATGAGTTAGTTTTTTTAAATGTATAATTTATATAGTTTTAAATAGTTTGTTGTTATTGGTAACAGTTTAAAATATTCTGGTTAATTTAAGTATTTGACATTAAAACAGCATGGATACAATTAATAATGGTAATTATAAAAGCTAATTATAAAAATTGACCATTAG